TACGCACGACAGGAGACTTCTCATCAGAAATCTTGTAGGCTAACAGGTAGTTGGATGATAAATTCAGAGTTCTAAAGAAAAATACTGCAAACCAAGAGTACAAATAAAGTTATCCTCAGATATGAAGGAGAGATAAAGACCACTCTGACAAACAAAAGCATGATAAGGCCTTGTCTTGCAAAAAAATGCTAAAGGGCATTTTCAAATTGAAAGAAAGGGAAAATCACATGTAACAACAAAACATCTGAACACAAAAAATCCACCAGCAAAACTAAGTACACATATAAGTTCAGAATACTCCAGTATGTTAATTGTAGTGTGTAATCCACGTATATCCTCAATATGAAGACTAAAAGAAAAAACTTAAGAGGTATGGCTTACATATGTAGAGATAGGCAATCTATAAAAAATGTAAATTGTGATATCAAAAAATTCAAAATGTATGTGGGTTAGTCTTATTTTGTTTGTTTCTTTTTCAAAGTTACTTGCTATCAGTTTAGAATAATTTATTATATTGGTTTTTGTAAGCTTCACAGTAACCATGAAGGAAAAATTTATAATACATACCTCAAAATAAAAAACAAGAACTCAAAACATATCAGCAAATAAAATTGCTTAGGTACAAATGAAAAGAGAAGAAGAAAAAGAAAAGAGAAAAAGAAAGGAAGAAACAATCTACAAAACAATTAAAAGCCAAATAACAAAACAACAATAGTAAGACTTTACCTAACATTTACTACCTTGAATGTAAATGGATTGAATCTCAAATTAAAAGAGAGTGACCAAATATATAAGAAATCAAGATCCATCTAAATGCTACCTAAAAGAAAATAATTTCAGGTACTGGGACACACGTAGACTACAAGTGAAGGAATGATGAAACACAACCTTTGAAAATAGCAAGCAACTCCGAATCAGCCCAATGCAGAGAGGCAGGTCTGCGGAAGCCCTACCAAGGTCGGGAGTTGTGCGGCACATACCGAATCAGCCCTTGCCCCGGCAGCAATCCACTGGGCACCCCCCAGCCGCTCCTCTGGCCTCTTCTCTGTACAGCCACCTGGTTCCACACTACAAAGACGCAGAGGACACCGGACCACCAGACCACTGTACTGGGTAAGTTGGAGTCATCTTCACCTCCCATCAGGACCGGGACTATCTTCAGGGGAAGGGCAGCTGGAACCTGCAGTACAACTCTGCAGAGTTCAACCCTACAGGAGGACAGGGAGCTCAACTTGGGACTTGCAGCCAGAAATCTGCCTGAATCTCACGGGTCTGGGACCAGCTTGCTGAGACTTATTGACTTCTTTTTTTTTTTTTTTTTTTTATGTTTTAACCTGAAATAATTCTGTTGATATTTGAGTTGCTTTCAGTGGGACATTTGCATTAAACCACAAGATAGCTCCATCTCCAAGTACAAAATCCCTTTTCTCCACCCACCCTCCAGCCAAACAAACAAGGAAACCCAAACCCACAACTCAGCTTCAAATAAGTTTGGAAGAAATGAGGCTCTAAATATTTACATAAGGGGCAAGAAATGAGTCACAAAACTATTTACAAAAATACACAAGCTTATATGCATTAACAATTTACACAAGTTCACAAAAATATTAAAACTTTAAAAAACACTAAAAATTAAAGAACTCAGAAGTATGATCTAGGACTTTCTAGGATGCTTCTCTCATGAAGGTCATGGTTGAAAAATCAGGTTTTGCTTTCTCAGAATCTAAACTGCAAAACAACCATTTTTATTCTTGGACATTAACAGTACTAATCAGATAAGGAAACAAAGACCCTCTGTGCACACCAACATATCGTCTTGCACACATTAAAATATATCATTCCCAACATTTCTGTAACACACAATACTGACAATCACATGCCTCTAACCATTTGAAAGTCACTTCCTGACATACTTAGCTTTCATTATTCCTTTGCACCCTCGGCTCAGGCGATACTCTCAGCATTCTGAGTGGGTGATCAGTGGGGCTGGAACAGGGAAATGGACTTTACATGCTCCTTCTTGAACTAAAGGAGCAAATCCTAAATTTATGTCATATACGTTTATTACTAATTCAAACATGACAACCCACTCTTCTACTCCCACTCAAATTCACAGTCCCTCCTCTTTACAGAATTAGTCCTAGAAGTTTTCAACCTGACCTTAAATTTTAAAAAATGCTTTGCCATTGTAAGAAATGTGTGGGCCCTACCCTTGGGACCATCCCAGGGACTTCTTCAAACTAAGCATTTAAAACATGTGAATGGATATTTAAAAGGAAATCAAATACACTAAGAAATAAGGCTCAGATTAAATTTATTAATAAGATAATGGCACCCCTGGGGCTTTTAGCAAAGTTCTTAGCTAGAAATCCAGGAAATATTTCCATCAAACCAAACTGTGGAATCAGAATTTTGCCAAAAAGATGAAACCTGGAGACAAGGCTGTGAAGGTATCAATAGAATTGAATTATGGGTTAATGCGTAAGGCAGCTCCTTGATCACAATGCTCCATGTCAACATCTGAAAGTAACAACGTTCAGTTCTGCATTTGTGAAGCCACACACAGGGTGGCCAATGCTGAGGTAACCTGGCTCACAGTGATTACCATCCAATTTCTACCCCGACAGTAATAGAAACGGAAAGATGGGGACAAAGTCTTTTAAATGGCTGAATCCAAAGTTAAGGCTGTTGCTACATATGTTAACTCTAGACTTGATCTAAAGTCTACTGTTTCACACTTACACCAGTAATTTGAATCATCATTCTATTCTCAAAATATGTACCTATTTCCAAGCCCATAGGACATTAATAAAAAAATTGTTCTGAGGAATGAACTTTAGCATTTATAAAATAGACTTAGTTTCAGGAGTAAACAATGTGTGACACCAAATCCACCAATAGTAAAACTGGCCTGGACTTCTTTTGTCACTTTGTCCTGGGTCCTGAGTTACTGAAGCCATGTCATGCCAGCCCCTCTTCCTAACCTCTGCTGCTGGTAAGAATTTCAGGGCTGGTATGGTCCCCAAGGGGCAATGGGTTGCCTACTTGATAAAAAGATGATTAAGGTGTTTTTTTTTAAAAAAAAAAAGTAGTGCTGCATATTCACTAGAGCTCAATTTCTATACATAGCACCCAGTGTGTATGTGTGTGTGTGTGCTGGATGAAGTAACCTATTGGGTTCCTCAAGTTTTGACCTCATTAGTTTAGTCTGCACTTTTAACACTGAGGCCTAAACTTCTAGACTTTTCCATAAATTGGTGTTTTAAGATTTCTACTCTGGTCTTTGTTGCATTCCTCTGATCAATTCTTGGGAATAAAAGAAAACCTTATATAAAGTATTTTCATATATAAATTTGTCTTTAAAACTTTTTCTAAATATAAATCCTCAAAAAGCAATCACATGACTTTTTTAAATTAAAAAAATGACTGGCATGGATCCTATTCTTTATACAAATTCACAGCAATAATAGCAGCATTTCAGCCTCTTAAAAGATAATTCCAAGTTCTAAAAAGCCAGAGCAGCAACCATTCAATAAATGGAATGAACTGTTTTCTACAACTGAGCATTTAAAATATGTAAATGTATAAAACTCAAGTATTATTACAAGTTATGGAATGAAACGACAATCTCACTTTGCAAATACAGGACTGCCTTTCTAGTCTGGTGTTTCTGTGGTGGGATGAGCTGAGGAAACATAATAGAGTTGGGTTAGAGAGGTGTCCTGTTCCTACTCTTCTAAGGAATGCGACTTTCAAAAGAAAGTCCTGGGTATTAAACATGTTTCACATGTCTACAGAGTTATAAAGAGCTATACCTGAATGCTGGCGTCAGTGACAATTACATTAAGACTGTGATCACAAAAGTACAGAGGAAGCAAACACTGCATGACTCCTTAGGACATAAATAGTAGCTTCCCAGAACTCCAACTGGAGAGATGGGGCTGTGTACACAGTGGTTACTGCAGGAACTTGCAGTTTCCTAACAGATAAATCACAACTACTTTAAGAATTTCAGGGAACCTGTACTCTGGTTTAGAAACAAATTAACATGTAAATCTGTATTCATGAGAAATTGTGTGTTTATCCAGTCAAATCAGGCAAGGCTTTTCTTAATGAGAAAAAAGTTGCTAATTTAGGAAAATAAACTGTGTTTTACTGGAAGTACAATTTACTAAATATTATTAGTGGGAAAAATCTGCAGACAGGCAACACATTAACAGCATTTATACTGTTTTCTGGAGTTAACCAGGTTTGCTGACAATAGAATTTCACTTTCACTTACCTAATAAATTTCCTTAAACTTTAACTAAAAAACAAAACAAAAAATCCCAAAAAACCCTCTGCAGTGCTATGAGTTTGTTCACTTACCTGTGAAGACCAAGTATAGAAATAATGTAAAGAGTGTGGTTCGGCCTGAGTCTAAATGGTCTAATATTTCATAACTCTGTATTTATTATGAAATGCTTAAAATCTTAGTTCTTTTACTTTTTAATTACAATGTTGCTAATTATCCAAGTGACTTATTTGAAGAATCAGGGAGTTTTTCTCCACCCTAACTTAATCTGCAAGTCCCTTCTTGGACAATGAAGTGATGTTCTCAGTCTCCAACTGGGCAAGCTGTACACCCACTGGTGGGGAAGCAGGGACACAAATGCAAAAAAAAGCACACCAGGAAATATATGTAAACTGCTCTGAACTAGGTAGCACGTGCTAAGAAAAGACAAAGCTAAATTCAAATTCAGTTAAAGGCAGTCCTCAGGCTCTTACAGATCAGCCCTATATGGCAAGTATAGTCTGTGACAAATTTTTTTACTAGGTTTCCAACACAGTGCTTTACAATCATTCAGATCTCTCTTAAAGACAAAAATGACAGCCTATAGATGGAAGGATGGTAATGAAGCAGGGAAGGGGAAAAGATGGTGATTTGCTTACTTTTATTACATTTGTTTCTTAAATGTGGTCGGAGATTTTGTACCTTTTTTTTCTTTTTAATCTTTTTGGTTACTGAAAAAAATAGAACAGTCCACTGTCCAGCAGAGGCTGCTTCAACTCTGTTGCTCCCGGGGCTCATTCTGCATGGATCTGTGTGTCAGGGTGCTGCAAAGACAACTCTGTGGGCAGAAAGGCCCCCTGACCCAGTGCTGTGGCGTATGTCCTGCTCTGTGGGTGGGCAAAGCCAGAGGGCGTATATGTCCCCATGCCTGCCCCTCTGAAGCCGCCTCGCTGGTGCTGGGGCAGGGAGTGGTAATCCTCCAGGTTATCATACTGGGACACAACAGTCATATTGCTGTGGCGCTTGCCATGCGTTTGGTACTGGTATAGCATGCTGGGATCCCTGTCCAGGTTCTGGGTATGGTGCAGCTTTAGGCTTTGACTCCTCTCTGGCTTAGGGGGTGGGACTGCTGACTGGGTGAAGTGCTCCTCCTCCTTGTAGCAGTTTCTGGAGTGTTTGTCAGGGGCAGGTGGCTGTCTGGCTCGAGGGTGCTCCAGCTCTTTGGAGAGCCTTACCTCTCTGTGATTCAGTCTTAAAGACTCCTGCCCTGATGGGGCATATTTTCCTCCAGAGTTATGGTAGCTTCCTGGCTCAGGAGTGTCTAGCATCCCTTTGGGCCCATAATCTAACTAGCCAGCTGCTCGGGGATAAGGTGCCCCAGTTTTTGATTCACACAACTGCCTATGGATTGCTTTCTGATGTGCCCTGTGCTCTGGGAGACTACAACCCATGTCACGGAGCTTCCTGTTCCTAAGGGTGCTCTGCTTCTGAGGGAGGGATGGCTTCTCTGCCTGTGCACTGCCATCGCCTCCATGGTGGAGGACTCTATCAAATTCCTGCTCTGTGTGCTTCCTATAGAAGCAGTCACCTCCCCCAGGACTGACAGCCTTGATTGAGTGTCGCCCCTCCTTTCCCTTTGCCACTGAGAGAAGTCCGGTTTTCCCAGGATTGGATTTGCTGCACAGATGGATGACATAGATCCCTCCCAAGTCATCCTGCATGGCTGGGGTCATGTTATCATACTGAGACATACCGAAGACTTCACCTTCTGCCGTGCACGGCTCTCTCTCCGAATGGACTGCATGTGATATTTCTCCATATCCTCGAAGTCCCAAGAGGTGCCAGTGTGCTTTATATCAGCAGGTGGAGGCATGTTGACTACATTATGGTCATTACCAGAGAAACAGGCAAACCAGGGTAACTGTACAAGTTCTTGCCTTGCAGCCTAGGATTGTAGAGAGCAAAATCTCGACTTGGCAGGTGGTGAAGGGGCCTCAACTGCACTGTGCTATAGGCATCCACATCACACAGGGCTCCATTAGGACTGTAACAGGAACTGGAGGAACTGGAATATGGGCTGTAGTGGTATTGTACCCATCCATTCTCAAAGTAAGGCTGAAGCTGAGTTACATGGTAATCTGAGCAGGCCTGGGAGGACTGATGTGGCTTATACTGGTACAGGGGTCTTGGGCAGTAGGTTGCTTCATCATCGGGGGGAACTTCTGTCTGAGAACTGGGGACAGAGCGGATCGTGGATGACGGGGGTGCATGAAGGGACTGCACCCTCCGGATGGTAGGGTATGGTGGAACATCCTTGAGGTAACAAGCACTCTGAACAGGGGAGGTCAGAGAAGAAACATACTCAATCCGGCTGCATGGCTTGGAGTGATGTCCAGATGCATTTCTTCCTGGAGCCACATTGGTGTTATAACGGGGACCCATGGAGGCTGGTGGCTCTGATCAGGCTCCATACACTTGGTGTTGCTCCAGCTTATTAGGATGTGGAGGTACGCTCTGGGGACGGAATTGGCAGTTTGGAGTCATACTGAAATGCAAACAATTTTCTGGGCCAAAGGGCTCAGTGGCAACCGCGGACCTGGCAAAAGAGGAGTAAGCTATTTTCTGAGAAGCATGCTTGGGTTGAGGGATAGAAAGTGGTAAAGGCAACACATTGTCCACTGAGGCTGATGAAGCAGCAACATAGGAGTGGTAGTTGGAACTGCTGGTGGCATCTGCACTGCTGGAGTGTAAGGCAGCAGCCATCTTACTCTCCATGGCCCTGGCAAGGGGCACTGGTGCTCTGAAGCCACAGGAGTGCCCAGGGAAAGACTCAGCATGCAGGTGGAGGAGCGGGGCCCTGGTGCCTTCTTGAACCTTCTCAGGTAGGCCTGGCTGGAGAGCAGCAGCAGCAGCCATGGGACACTGGGCAGCTGCACTGCCATCACTGACAAAGATGAGGACAGGGTCATCCATGGCTCGAGGCTCAGGTGGCCTCTCTGGAGCTGGAACTGATCCTTGAACCTTGTGGGAATTATATACTCCTATACTGGTTGGTGCTTGTACCTGCCCCGTGACTGGTGGCTGCTCTCCTGGCCTCTGGGAAGGAGCTGCAGGGAGGGGACAGTTTCTGTGGGGGCGCTGGAGGGTGGCAGCAGCAAAGTCAGCAGCAGCAGACTGTTCAGCCGTCACCCAGCTGGTGTCCTTGGCTCTTGTTTCGGCTGCCGCAGTCGCTATCATGTAAGCCATGGTAGCTGTGCTGGCATTCTCTTCAGGGGACCCAGAAGGCAGGTAGACTTGGTCCCTGGGCAAACTTGCAGGCATGGGAGATTCGCCTGGGAGTTCTGAAGGGTGATGGGGCTTATCCACACTTGTACCAAGGTAGGAGAGAAGCTGATGCTCATTGTAGAAGTGGAGCACAGACTGGTCCTGCTCTGCAAAGGAAATGCTCAACACACTGGGCTTCCCAGCCTGGTGTTCAGGGAAACTTCCATGATCATCAGACTTCTCTGAGTCAGTTAAGGGAGCTGAAACAATTCTAGCCTTTTCTGGGTCCCCAAATAAACAGTTTGGAAGTGACTGATTCCCTGGTAAATCTACTTGACGGAGGTGCTCCCCAGATTCTGTGTGGGAATGGGGGGCGGAATCCCCAATAGCTGCTGTCTCTGCGAGAGGCTGGTCACTGTTCCCAGGTGTGCTATTCTGGAGGTGGAACTGCTCTGCTGGTCAATCCATTTGGAAATAGGCCTTATCTATTGCAACACTAGAGTAGGGACTGGGCAGTTTATCTTCAGCGGTGGCCACTATGTCTCCATAATTTGTACACCCAGCCTGGGAAGTCCCTGGTTTCTTCAATGTCTGGGTTGAGGCTTCCTGTGCAGACTCAGCTAACGCTAGTGTCAACATTCGAGCAACATTTTTCAGAGGTGGAGGTGGTGGGATAAGAGAGACTGAACTGACAGGAATGGGATCCTGAGGGGGGTCATGGGTAACTGCTCCTGTCTGAGTCTGTCCAGAAGCTACAGCCTTACTCTGACTGCTTGGGACAGACAGATCCTCTTTCCCTGGCAGTCTACTTCTTCAGCAGCCACCTGGTCCAGGGGCTGGATTTCAGGTTCACATCCTTCTTGGGCCTCTCTCTCATTTGCTTTCATCTTTACTATCTGGGTGAGGGATCTATTTGTGACATCACTGTCTTCCATGCTTTTGCCCCAAGTTGGAGACGATGCATTCTGAGCTGCAGTATTTGAGATGGTACCAATCACTTCTGACACCCAAGGTGGAAGGGTCACTGAAGTTGGCCCTGACACGTTCATGGAAGGTGATTTAGTTAACTTCCATCCAATCTTTGGAGAGAGAGCATAGATGACCTTTTCAGTAAATGAAGATGGCTTAGATGATTTCTCTTCAGGTGGGCTCAAGTCCAGGATAAAGAATGGACTCAGTTTCTCCTGAACTGGAGAAACTGGTTCCGAGCTTGCAGTGCTTCCTGGAGTCTGAGACTGACTACCACCTGTTTCTATATCCTTCATATTGGCACATGATTTATCCTTTGAGTATCCTAATGAATCTAGAAAGGAAGCACCACTCTCCAGACATTCTGACTCAGCCTTAGGAGGACTACATTGAAAGGACATTGGATCAGAATCCAGGCTGGCCACTCCAATGTCTGGTGTGCTCAAATCAATGTCCTCAGCAGAAGGAGGAGACATTAGAGATGGAATGTGAAGAAGTCCTACTTCCTCCTCACTCTCATTGTCATGGGGCAAATTTTCATAGGAATTACAGCGGTTCCCCAGCATTTCTCCATTAAAAGAGGCAGACAGGGCATCACTGCTAGACCGCGGTCTTCTAGGCTGGAAGAGCTTGGAATCACCATCAATTGCATGGAGAGAAGTAAGAGACGCCTCACTTTTAGCTGAGCGTAGGGTTCCTTCTGCCCTGCCACCTTTCAAAGCCATGGCCTTCATCTCTGAAGACTCACTCTCATTGCACTGCAACTTCTGCTTAGAGACAGATGATGACTTCCCCAAGGTGAAAAAGGAATGCCAGCTGCCCACAAGGGATTTTTTATCTTATTTTGAGGCCTCTTTCTTTCCAGTGGGAACTCAATTATGGTATGAAATTTCCCCTGAAGTGCAGCAGGTCCTTCTCCTATTTCAATATATTTATTTTCAGTCACAATTGGAGAATTGACCTGAGCTTGTGTTCTTGCCTGGCCTTCCTCCAAAGTCAGAAGCTTGGTGGATGGAGAAGATACCAGCAGAGACTTGGGCCTAGATAAAGATGCTGCCCCTTTCTGCATGACTGCACTGATTTTGCCACTGAAGAGCACATCTACATGATTGAGGATGAACTCCACAACCACAGACTGAATTCTCACTTCCATGAAAGCTGCTGTTCC